CTGAATTACATCTACACTGTAGGTAGTTTGAAAAGCAAACACAAAAACAAAAATTTCCCTATTAAAGACAATCTCCATAATCACTCAAAAACCAAATTAAACATTTACCATATTTTTTAAAGACTATGAAAATAAAAGGTAAATAATTCAAGGTAGAAAATTCGTTAATGGGTAATCACTTTCTACAGACAATAAGCAATGTTCCAATAAGCCCTGAGAAATAGCTAATTAACTTTCCAGGTGGACAAACATTATTTTGTATTCCTGTAGACCTAAAAAGAATCTAAAGATAATTAATAGCCATGTGTTCCTAATATTCAAAAGAAGATTAAAAGGACCATTGGTCCTCATTGTTTAGCTACTTCAAATTTTATTAAAATAATAGAACCTAAATTAGCACAAAAATAATTTTTACCATCCTGAAAAATAAAGAAACAGCGAGTAGCTTTTGTTTATGAAGAGTCACTTAGTATGAATAAATTTGATGGCTTGTTGATGAAGTTATAAAATGAATACCACCCAAAGCATTGTGGATTTAATGCCATCATGAAATTAAGCACTTGATAAAGCCCCATGAGTTCTCCCCATTATATTAATTTAAGATGCTTAGATAAGAAACCTAAGGATCAAAGCAAGCAACGAAGGAAAATATGACTAACAAGATTGAAAGAAAGAAGGAACCAACAAGGTTAGGAGGGAGGGGGAGAGGGAGGGGGATAGCAGGGAAGGGAAGAGGAAGGGTCAGAATAAGGAACAGATATGAAGGACACATGGACATAGTCAAAGTGGAGAAGGATTGAAGGAGGAGGTTGGGGTAGGTGGGGCAGGGGAGAGTGGTGGCAGGTAAATGGAGACAAATCTATTGGAACAATAAAAAAAAATTTAAAGTTAGCTAAAACTTTGCAACTAAAGGAAAAACAGAGAGAGATAATTTCATAAAAAGTATAAGTTGGGAAAAGCTATAGGAATTGGAGACAGGACCAAGTGAATCTCAAAGATTTAGAAGGAACAGGTATGTATACCGAGGTATTAATTTCAATTTTCTGAGCACCTAAATTTTAAGTTACTACAAACATGAGACTGTAGATAAATGCTACAGGGAAGTGAGGTAAGATCTTGGAAAATAAGAATTATATGGTGTAATTTTAAAAACTTGACCAGTGTTGAATTCAAAAAGCCTAAGAATGAACTGTGATGGAAGGGTCAGGGAGGGCAGGGTCATCAAGAAGAATCAACTTGAAAGGCTTAGTAATACATTATGATAGAAGAGAATTCTGGCACCCAATGAAATTATTATTACCATCCTTAAATGCTCAGAATGAATGCAACAGAAAGGGCAAAGCTTGAACTGGTTTTTTAAAAGGCTGTATTTTATCTTGTACCTTCTGTTGTACATGTTGTATTTCCCTCCAGATTACCCAATTGAAAAGAAATCAACTTAAACATAAAATCTTTTCCATAATGGTCAAAAGAGTACTCAAAGATCCAGCAGCCTCTCCTAGGGCTACTTCTAGCCTTCTGTCTCCTCTTCAGTGATGGACTTCCCTTGTTCTAAAGACCCCTGGGCTGAAATTTCTCCCTGGAAGTACATCTGAGTGGGAGGATCCGAAACATACCTCAGGTGGATTGGCTTCATTTAATTATACACAGGTCTGCTGATTTACAACTATGAAGTCATAAAATGGGAATATTCTGGTCTTTGCAGGACAATAACTTCAAAGAGACTTTAGGAGGTATATTTGTCACAACCTATATTTTCTCTACAGATTCAACAATATCTTCAATAGTAAGAATCTCAACATACTGATGGTTTTCATGACTGGTACTGAGTGTCATCCAGTTAATCTTTCCTGAAACCCACAAAGTTAGTAAATATAAGACTCTTTGGGAGAGGTGGTATAAAAATAAATATCTGTTAGTCATTATAATGTTATATTATAACATTTCTCAAGCTATTGATGATGCTTTCTACATTATAGTCTGTACTTTGTCATCTCTTTGAAATTGCAGGGTTTTGGACCTGGAGGTTATCTAATCAAAAACTGTCTCCTTTTAACAGATAAGGAGACAGAGACTTTGAGACATGCAATGACTTGGCCCAACTGGCATAGTCAGTGACAGCAGAGCCTGTAATATTTTCTGTCAACTGAATTCCATCCCAGTCCTTGAAACATTCGACTGTCATTCTTTCTTCTATCACTTTATTGTTCCAATGTTACTATATTTGAAAAAAACAAGGAGTTTAAAAATAGTTATCTTTAAAAAAGCAATGTATGTATGCACATGGATGTGTATTTGTATTTTAAGTAACAATGAATCAATACATTTGCTCCTCTTATTTACTACATTGTTATGCATTAGATACTTAGCATTTGCATGACAAAAAATCTATTTTTATTTGCTATGTTTCTCTAACATCATTATGATGAACTCTATTTTATATAAACCACTAAAAATTGCTTATTTTAATCATCAATCCAGGTTTTATTTAGCTTGTACCCCATTTTACATGGTTTTAATTATTAACATGCAGATACATAAGATTGAACACATGCTAGCATTTCATCTTATGAAATTATTTAAGAAATAAAGTGTTGCTCTGTGGTTCCATAAACATAATTAATATATATTCACATTCATTTTCAGAGAGACTTAGCTACTTTAGCACTTCTATTTCACAACACCCATAATCTTCTAAATTGACTTATCTGATGTTCTTTAAGATCTATTTTTCTAAAGACTTAAATTTTTATCTCTGTTGCTGCTTTTGAAATGTTCTTCATGATTGTGAATCCATCTAATATAATTTTCACATTTGGTGCCATTTTTCTCAAAGGACAATATAGGGCAGGAGATACAAGTCAAAAATTCTTCATACCACCCTACTATTTTAATTCAAAATATGGATAAGATATAAGGAAAAGAGAAATAGAAAGAATCGAAAGTCTCTGTGTAAGAAACCTTTATGTTAAAATCAAACAGATGCACACAGAGTGTCAAGTTATGAAGTAAGATAAGGTAACAAAAAAAATCTTGGCAGAAATAAGCCTCTGGGATGTAAGGTAGTGAGAAACTGAGAGTTGTTCTGTTCTCTTTTATCAGCACTTTTGTAGAAACCTTGTCTGTATTCCATGCCCTTTCATCGTTAGCCTATGTCTCAGTACCTTCTCAGAACTCACTTAGTTTTTCTTAAAGTAATTCAAATAATAATAATAACAATAACAATAATAATTTCCTAGGCTTTAATCAAAATCTTCAGCAATGCCTACACTTTTATTTGGCAATGATTGAAAGGTCCCTAAGGAAGTCTATATGCCATGTTTGCATACATATATATGCAAATGAGATCTACTCTGAAGACAGTGTACCCTATGGCATTAAATGTATATTTTTACCAATTTAAGGGTGTTTTGTAGATTCTGACTTCATGCTAAAATGAAAAGAAGAAAGTTGTAAATACAGGTAGAGATATGTGTGTGTGCATATGTATGTGTGTGAAATGTGTCAATATAATCTGTATGTGTATGTGTGTATAGCATACACTTAAATCTCTAGGGAAAATATCTCTAACTTCTTTATTATCCAAGTACAGCAGGATTTTGAATTTTAGAGATAAATGATAATCAAGGTGAGTGTACCTACTCTGTAACTCAACATTTGATTTGCTTTAAAACAATCACCCTCATACCCTGGCCAAGGGGCTCAGTTGGCTGGAGCACAGTTCTGTACACAAAAAGGTTGCAGTTAGATCCCAGTTGGGTGTCTTTGAAAGGCAACGGATCTCTCTTTCTCTCTCTCCAATCAATAATAAAATCAATAAACATATCCTTGTGTGAGAATTTTTTTAAAATCACCCTCATTTTGTTGCAGACATTGTGTCTCTGCTTTCTCTGCAGCAGAAAGAAACTTATTGTAAGAAGTTAATAGAATGCGAGTGCATATTTCTTAACTGGGTAACTTAGTTGACCGCCTGAGAGTCTGACTGAATTAGTCAAGTGGTGTCTCAGCTGGGGGACACCCAACTGGAGTCTTGTTTCAGTTCCTGGGATTGGTGGATACACCTCCCCACAGGTGTACTCTCCCTGTCCTTGGGCAACCAATGCCCCCAAATCTGAGGATGCACTTCCAGGCATCTCAGTCCCAGCTCTGGCTCTGTTAAAGGCAGAGCAGCTCAGACCCCTGATGGAGTCTCATTTAATTACAGTTATGGGTAAGGGCAAGCTTTAGTTCCTGCTAGGCTTTGCAGCTGTTTAGTCCCAGATCAACCAGGAGCCCACTAAAATAAATTAAACAAACAAACGAAAGAACGAACGAATGAATGAATGAATAAATAAAAACAAAGCAAGCTCATTCCTGCACTCCTTTCCCCATGAGTCACCTCAAGAAGGCTGCTTTCCCTAATCCTCCCAGGCCCAGGAGGATTTTGCGCCCAGGAAGGGGGCAAAGGTGTTATCCCAAAGTGGAGGGAGGAGGGTTAATATTTGCACTGTTACTGAGAGAAGGGGAGGCAGATACACCGTGATTGTGCATGTGTGTGCATATGGAGAGAGGTTTTGCAAGGAAAAATAAGCAGGAGGCAGAAGAGATGGTGCCCCAGCTCCCCTCGGGGCCTCAGAGAACAACACACGTCGTAATTCCCTTTCCAGAGCCTGACAGATTTCCACAAACAATGACATCACTCGGGCGCCGCCGACCAGACTACAGCTCGGGGGACTTCCCTGGGAGCCAGATGAGCCGGGTGAAGAGATGGAGAAGCTCTCCCGGGTGCTGAAAGTGGCAGGGGCGCGGGCTCACAGCGAGGTGCCCCTCGCTAGCGGAGGCGGACCGCCGGGTCGCGGGCGGGCAGGGGTGGGCCCGGGGTGGCCCAGGGCAGGGCCCGCTGCTTCTCTGGTCCTCATTGGCTGCTGGCGGGCGCACGTCACCAGGCTGGTGCTCTCCTCCCGCCCCAGTAGAACTGGAGCTGAGGAGGAGCTGAAAATGCAGATTTAGCATCAAGCACAAAAATCCACTCGCTCTTTCAGATACGCACAGCTCCTCACATTCGCGCCCCTGCCAGCGAGCCGGGCCGCCTGACCAGACGGATTCCCCGCCAGCCAGATGCTGGAGAATACACACTGACTTGCTGCTTTCCAAACCCCTAATCAGTCTCTTTCCTCATACAAAGATTCCTTTAAAAAACAAGCAAACAAACCAAAAACTATATATATATATTTTTTTTATTTGCATCTTTCCTCTGGGTCCCCTGCTCCACAGCCTGCGCGCCTCCCATCACCACTTTTCACTCCCAAAGAAAGATGAAAGGTGGCTGTGTCTCCCTGTGGAAGGCGGCCGCCGGGCTCCTCTTCTGTGTCATGGTTTTTGCATCTGCCAAGAGACCGGTCTTCACGAATCATTTTCTTGTGGAGTTGCATAAAGGAGGAGAGGAAGAAGCTCGCCAAGTTGCAGCAGAACACGGCTTTGGAGTCCGAAAGGTAAGATCTCCCTTGCATTTCGCATATTGTTTCAAAACGGGGACAGCCCTGCGCAATCTCATTGCAGATTTGCAAGTTTTCTCTCTTTCTCCTGCGATGCAGACATTCTGCCATCAGCTCTTTAACACGACATTGCCTCCAGTGATCTTTCACAGGTTATGTAATTAAAATGCCCTTCAAATTATACTACTAAAGTCATAAAATAATGTATTGCGCTTTGACTTGGCGAAAACAGTATAACACCTTTCAAACAATGCCCTGCTCCAGGGCTCTGTCCGAGGTACCAATCCCAAGTTCTAAAGGGGATGCTTGGGGATAGAGGGATGAGGTCCTGAACATCAGAGAGTGGCTTTGGCTCCTTTGCCAGCGAGATATATATATATATATATATATATATATATATATTATATATATATATATATATATAATCTCCCATCTCCCTTGCTCCCATCTCCAGAGAAAGAGTAGTTTCTGACAAACAGGACTAGAAGCTTGGACATTGCAATTCATCTCCATGCTTTTCGGACCCCGCGCTAGGAGGACTTCCCTCCCTGTGACTTGGGTCCCTGCTCTTTTCCAGAGAAAGCAGCTCCCTGGCTCCAGGAGACTTAAAGACTTGAACTGGTTTTGCTTTCCAAAATCGGGGCAGAACTTCTCGCCCTTGCCTCTGCCCACCACAGCCCACCCCAGAAACGTACTCCTTGTTAACTCTCAAGTTCTCAAGGCAGAACTATAGAAGATGGAACGGTAGATTTTGAGGGGAGTTCCCTGCGGAGAAGTCAGAGTGGCTCTCCTGGTATGTGGGTGGCCAGCTTGGCTTTTCCAGGAGGACACGGGGATCCCCACTGCAAAAAAGTTGGCAGAGTTCAACCGTTTGGGCAGCAGGATGAGTCTCCCAGTCTAAAACTCCAGGGGACTCCTTTGGAGAGTCCAGGGTTCCCATTCCGGGAGGGTAAGGAAGAGGAAAGCACTGGGTGGAGGCTGTAGTTGACCTATTTGCTCTTACTGCGAAATGTTAGCAGGGATCTCAAGTATCCTTAAGGGACCTGACGAGGGGTGAGGTAGAGTGAGCGTGCAAAGAGAAACCGGGGCGAATGGAACCTGGAAAATAGAGGATGCAATTTGGTAACCAAGGAGCCCGGTTGGCGTCTGTGGGTTTCCATTCTGGCCCCATCTCCTTCCTCCTGATCCCAGGAGAGAGGCTCCAGATGAGCGGTGAGAGCTTTCCGTTGTTGCTTTTGCCTCTCAAGGGCAGCGCGAACTGGGACTCCAATCAGGCTCTCTTTCCGGACTTTCCACGCCTCTCGCCTTCTCCCAGCCTCGGCGAGGGTTCCTTCACTTGCCGCAGGCTCTCCCGCCTCTGTAGGGCGTTGGCAGCCGCGACTTCGACCCAAAGTGGGTTTGACAGCGAGTTTGTCAGAGGCCTGGGAGGAGGTGCCAGGTCTGCCATCAGCGCGCGGGCGGGTCTTGCAGAAGAGAACTTGTTGCTCCCGGGAAGCGTAGGTGGAGCAGGGGAGAGACTACGCCAGCAGAGAAAGCAGCCCGTTGTCGTTCTGGCACAAGGCCTGGGGGCTGTTTCAAAAGTGCCACCAACACAATAAGCAAGCAGACCTTCTCCTTTCCCTGCGCCCCTGACAAAATTTGGCAAGATCCAGGAACCAAGCGCCATAAATATAGTAGTGATTATTATTAGCTGACAGTTACAGGGCACCTTCATGTGCTGGAGTCCTTATATACATTCTTATTTAATATTCTCAGCAACTCTTAGGAAGCTAATATTAGTGTTAAGCCCATGGTACTGATAAGAAAACTGGCTCAATAACACCCCCCCCCAAAAAAAAACCCCAAGGATTTAAACCTAGATCTTTCAGAGATGAACTCATGCTCTTTAACCCTAGATCATACCCAACCAAGTGCTCTGTGGGCTTTGGGATACACTGAGAAGTGATGTAACAGCAGTCTCTGGTTCGTGAGTGTAAAGAACAGCAGTTGATGCAGAAAGAGCTGTTACTGTCTACCTACCATGCACCATTTCATAGTGTAGGCAGACATTGCTATCTACCCTCTACTTCCTCTTTTAAAAATATCCCCCTAGGATCTGATCTTAGAAACTTAATCAAATCTAGATGTAGTTGAAGTTGGTAATAGCTTAGTTTATTAACTGTCTAAGAGGGTTACTTTTTTTTTGAATAAAGGTAAAAAACTTGATGAGGGAATACAGTTTTGATAATGGAATTTGAGCAAGAAAGTGTAGAGACATTCTGAACAGGAATGAGTCTGGATCATCTCAAAACACTTTAAAATCTCAGCAAATACATATATTGGGTGAAATCAGATACCTAAATCTCTTTCTCCCCCATTCTTTCTTGGAGAGCAGCCCACTAGCTATGCAGCACAGCCTCAAACCTGCAATTCTGATCTAGGGGAAATGTGCTTTTATAATTGCCACTGCTTTCCTTACCTCTCCATAACCTCTTGGAAGTAGTATCTCTTATCCAAATGATCTTTTCTCTTATTCATATCAAGTAAAAATAAGTCTATAGTTATGTCTGGTGAATCTTTGCAGAATGCTACACCTGTTAAGAATAAGTCTTCTTTTTCTCCCTTGCATCCATGTCCCACCCACTCTTTGAGACTGAGCTTTAAACCTTCCTGATGCTATGGACTACAATGAGCTTTCTTTTCTCCACATTCTTGTGGGACAAAAAGCAAAGCCCACATGACATAACCTAATACAGCCACCACTTCTCCTCTAGTCATTTCATATATGTAAGTAAAAATGGTTGTAAGTATTGCCTTTCCATTTGAAAAGTAAATATTCAGGGATATCTTCTGTATTTCTGGTTTCCTCACCATAGCCAGCATATTACTGGATTTGCGAACCTGTAGGGAAACATCCTTAATTGTGTTTATTACTCCAGGTTTCCCAAACACTGTCCTGTCTTTTCATTATGCTGTACTGTACTTTTGTCAACATTTTTATTTATTTATTTATTTATTTATTTATTTTTTAAATACATTTGTCTCTGCCTCCCCCCCACCACCACTTTCCCTTGCCCCCTCCCTCCATCCCTCCCTCAGCTCTTCCCCTTTGGTTTTGTCCATGAGTCCTTGCTCTATATTCCTTGACTTTCCCCTTCCCCTCCCTTTCCCTACCCCCCTCCCTCCTTCCCTCTTGTCTCTGTTGATTTCTTTTCCTTTCAGTGTTGCTGGTCATATTTTTTATTCATTTTTTATTTTAAACCCTCAATACCTCCTTCTCTTTTCTCTCTCTAACACTTAGTATACCTCCCCACTCCCTGCTGTCCCATCTTCTCCAATACTCAGAGTCAAACTCCAAAGATTCTCAGTAATTATTTATTCACCTAAAAGAAAGGTCAGCTATGCAGACCAGAAGGACCTGCTATTTTATTAACTTACCAGACCTCACAACCTTGTGAAATAGAAATTATTGGCATCATCCCTAAATCTTATATAAGAAACTTAAAGTTTCAAGAAGTTAAGTAATTGCTCCTACCTGGAAAGTGAAAAAAAGTCAGATTTAAATCCAATTTTCTCTACCAAAAATAATTTTCTTTTCTTATCATGCTGCCTTCAAGAAACCTTTCCTCGCTGCCAAGAGCTCTGCCTTTCGGGTACCATTTTACAGTTGTTATTTTTCCTTTCTTTTTTTCTTATTCTTTTTTGTCTAATACTTATTTGGTATTAACATACAATATGGGAAAAAATAGGTTTACAGTTGTTTATATGAAAAATAATGCAATAGTTAATGAATAATAGTACAAGAATAAACTGTGTTTAGCATACTCACAAACAGTAAACCTACTTTTGCCCTACCCGATATGAACGTATGTCATTAACTAATGTGTATTAGTATGTATTTCTTCAGGTAGATCTTAAATCTTCCAAGAGGAGAGACAATATACCATGTATGTCTTTTTGTAGTTCCTATATTTAACACAGTGTCCTGTATATAAGGTATTCAATAAGTATTTGTTGATTATTTTGCAGGACCATATGTGTACTCTTACAAGGCTATGAGAAAACCATTGTTTTATTTCTAAAATGTAATAAAAATACCTTTAACTTTACCCTCTGAAAGGTTCCATGAGACTAAAATTTTCTTTATCATGGCCTGGCCCCAAAAGGTATGTTCAACCAAAGAAGATGCATATGTCTGGGAGAGTAAGTGAATTTACAATAATAACAAAGGTGTTATTCCAAAAAGTACCATAAAATTATCAATATACTACTAAATTTAAATCTCTTGAAAAAGAAAACAAAAAAATTATTAAAGCACTGTGTTGAAAGTTCACCAAAAATCTAATAGGAACTAGGTTAAAATCCAAACAACTCACTATTAGGAGTTTTTGTTTTTATATGTTTCATCTTGTGTTTTATTCAGGTAGTACTGAGGCTAGAGTAATTACACAAGTGTACCTTTATATGTATAAAAGTTTTAAAATTTTTTAATCTAATAATTGTGTTCTTGTGTAATAGAATAATAATTTTGGGTCATTTTAATTTTACTGAAATATAATATATTATAGGAAAGAGCACAGCTTAACAGACTTTTACCAACTGGGCACACATATATGACTAGCACCCAAATAATAAAACAAGATGTTATCAACATTCCATAAGTCCACCTCTTGCTCACTTGGGTAGTTTTTAGTTTTAGGCAATTATAAATATTGCTTCTGTGAATATTGTAGTGTATGTATTTTGGTGAAAACATATATAGCTTTCTTTCTGTTGGGAACATTCTTAGGACTACAATTGTTGAGTCAAGGGGCGTGCATTTTCACCTTTAGGAGACTGTATCAGTGTTCTATTGCTATATAACAAATTACTACAAATATAATGGCCACCCTAAAACCACACAGATTTGTTATTTTATAGTTTTCAGGGATAAGGAATCCAGCACATTTTAGTTGGATCTTCTGTTCAAGACCTCCCAGGCTGAAATCAAGATATTGGTCATTTTGTCCTCATCTAAA